CGGCCCCGAATCCTCGAGGGGAGAATTGCTGCTGCTTCCTTTACCCTTCCCCAGACCTTCTCCCCTAATCATTCATTCCCTCCCTTCAAACAACGGCTAACGCCTTCTCCAGAGCCACATATACGCTATGCCTACATGCCCTTCCCCACCCCCAATATCCTCCATATCTTGGAGAGGGGAGATGCTTTCACCCCTACCCCTTCCTCCCTCTGCAGCACATCCATAAGAAAAAAGCCTATAGGCCTTTTTTTCTCCTTTACCTGGGGAAACCGTCTTCTCCAAGATCGTAATGAGCTCCATGGTGGTAATGGTGGCGGCGGCGGCGGTGAGGTGAAGCTAGGAAGGAAAGGAGGAAGGGGAAAGGGAAAGGGAGAAGGAAAGAGAGGATCGGAGTCGATGGTCGCCGCCGCCTCGCCCTCCGCCTGCCCGCTCAGTCGGCCGGTCGGTCTCTCCCTTCGCGCGCTCTTTACTTCTCCCTCAGCAACGGGGCGGCCCCACCCCCGGCGGAAGCGACTGGAGTCTCCCCTACAACTTCCCCTCCCCCTCCTCACACACAACTCCTTCTGGCGGCGGAAGGAGAGAAAAAGGAAGAGGGGAGGAGAAAGCGCGCGCGCGCGCTAAACGAGCTAAAATGAAGCTATTCAGCGAGTGCGACTCAGACAAGGGGGGAGGCAGAAAATTAAAACAAAACAACGTGCCTCCCTCACTTCCCCACAACCTCTCTCTTAGGGGCGCTAATTCACTGTCCTGTTTTCTGGCGGATTAACTGAACAGGCCTGCCAGGCCTGTCTGCCTTCAGGCACGTAACATTCGTGCGTATGCTGCGTGCTCACGCAATCCAACTCCTGCCAAGGCGCATGAAGACCTCCACCGCTCCTTTTCAACCGGCCAACGCCCGCCTTCCCTCCTTCCCACGCTGATTGGCTATTGTGACTCGTACGTCACGGGGCTGACAGGTCGAAAAGAACGCACGGTTTCAAAAACTTTATATTTAAATAAGCTGTGCAGGGTTAATTAAATCAGCAAGCAACCCTTATACTAGGGAAGAGAACAATCAAAATATTAGGAATTTATGTCTCAGTGCGTCACTTACAGGATAAACTGTAGAGTCGTTGGTGCTCTCTGACCTTGGTACGGTAGTTCCACTCTCCACTCCCTTCTAGCAATGAAGATGTTACTAAGTCTGATAAAGCAAACAAAAACCAAGGTCAGGAGCACCAAGGTCTCCAGATACAACAGTACTCTAATTCCTATTTTTTCTTCCATCTTTTTTTTTTTAAAGCAAAGCACTGCCAATTATCAACATTATTTTGGAGAAAGTATTTTGAATCTTACACAGGCATACTTATATTTTTTAAAAAAATTATTGTGATTATAGTCCATTCTTTTATTTGGAAATACAGATAAATTTGGAGTATTACAGTAGAAAGCATACTGGAAAAATTAAATGGAATGGCAAAGAAGAACCTCCTTAGTTTGTTTTCTGGAAAATAGGTGTTTCGTAATGCATTATCTTCTTGACACTGGATGTCCAAAGAGACTACCTCACTTCCATAGAAGCAATGTGAGAATGCCCACAATAACCTGTCAAAAGTTTCCATAAGAGCTGGGATAATCCTATTAGAGTCCTTAAGAGGTAGGGGAGAACCATCTTTCCCTTTTCTTTTTGGCCCTTCCTTCAGTGTCCACACATTGAGCAGCAAATACTCATTTTATAATTTTAGTTATTTTACTGAGGTATGAGGATATGAATTGGAAGAAAGCAGTATCTTGTTATGATTTTATAGATAGGAAAAATATTAGACCTTTTCCATTTCTAAGTTACATGTAATATAAACTGATTTAATTCCTGCCTCTATGAATTAGGTTTGTATTGCAAAGCATAGGATCCATTTTAGATTGTTATGTAAGTCTACTTGAGTTGATTAATAGCTATACTTTTTGAAGAATCTTTCATTTATCGTTAAATGTATTCAGCATTGGTCAACATTTCTTAGTTATATCACATATTTTTATAATTAATTATCTGGGTATATACAAATGTTTTGAGTTGAAATACTGAAAACAGGAAGTCCTTAACTTATAACAGACTTCACAAAAGCTACTTACAACCTGTTTTCAAAGTTATAACAGCTTCAGCAGTCATTCTCCCTTATTGCAGCACTCACCCACCCACCCTTCCACCCTGGTGGGCTCCTGCAGCCATTCATCCTTCAAGGGAGATCAGGCCGGCTGTAGTGGGTGCAAATCAGCTGGAACTTGCCTCCAGCTTTCTTCCCACCCAACAAGCAAGGGAGATCAGGCTGGCCAGTTTTCAAACTCTAGTGAACAAGGGGAGAGCAAAGCGGGTTGGTGTTTCAAGCCTCCACCTATCTCCCCACCTAAGGACTGGGGGGGGGACTTAGCCTGCTCCAGGGCCTAGGAACCCCCAACTTATCTTTCTGTTTTGCAGGTTTTGAAAGAGGTATCCATTTAATACAGAATCAAAGTTCTTACAGAGTCAGCCTTGGAACTAACTCAGGCTATTTTGCAACAGGCTCTATTCTTGCAATATTGTAGAGGGTTTTTTTTTTAATGAGGGCCCATTTTTAAAGGAGATTCCATTTGTTTATGGAGTTTATGGAGCTTCCATAAAAAGGAAGCCACCTATACAAGACTAACACCTTCTGTGCCACAAGGCTAGATTGCAAACTCCAGCCAGCCTGATCTCCCCTTGCTTGCTGGAGTTTGCAAATGCCAGCCTGATCTGTCATTGCTTGCCAATGGCTGCAAACTCTGACCAGACTGATCTCCCCTTGCTTACTGGATGTGAAGGAAGAACTATGGGGACCCTGAAAGGCAAGAAAGGGGTGAGGATAGCCTTGGGAGGTCTGGGGCAGCTGATTCTGGGCCTGCACAGGCCTTCCCCATCCCAAGGCGTTCCATGTTGTTTAATGACTCTTGCATTTGTTTATTTGTTTAATGGCTGCATTGGGGAGAACAGAAGGTGATGAGTTTAAGGGAGGCTGTTTTCCTTAATGGTGGTTGTGACATGTGACTGCAATGGCCAGGCTCCATTACAATCGTATCTTGAGGACTACCCATATGCTTAAAATATTTGTTTCTCAAGTCATGTATGTAATTATCCATACACATACCTATTCCCAAGTTTGTTTGCTTTTATTTTCTATATATGTCATCTGGACTTGTTTTAAATAGATGGTTTTTAATAATTCACTTGTCATACTCAGAATGAAGAGCCAGTTTGATCTAGTGATTAAGACACTAGCGCTTAAAGCTAGAAACCAAGAGACTGTGAGTTTTTGTTCCATCTTAAACTTGAAAGCTAGCTGATGGCTTTGACAAGTCGCTCTCTCAACCCACATCAGACTCAGATAACAAGCCAGTCAGTCAATTCCTGTCACAACCAATGGATCAACACTTGGTTGATCTGAAAAAAACAATCTCTGCATTTGTGAGAAAACACTAACAGGAAAAAAAGTGCCTATCATACTTAGAGTAGGCTAAGATTTATAACACTACTCTGCAAAAGCTGATATCCACTGAAAGATAAGCTGGTTGCAGAGTTTTTCATTACTTCCAGATCAAGGTTAGTGTATTTGCTCCTTTTGTTCAAAGTGGTTACTTTTGGTAATACATAGATGTACTGAATGATACACAAGATCTTTCCAATTTTGCTGAGGCAATTCTGCTCCTTCATTTATCAAGAACCGTTAAGAAAAAATCAGGTAAATGCTATCTAATAAAAGCTACATAACTAAATCTATTCTGTGGCGATGAGGATGAAAGTTTTATACTTGTTGAGCATTACTAGTTTCTCTATTCTTTTCAGAGATCTAAAGTACAATTTTGAGCAGGATAATCAAAAAGCTGCCCTGTAAAACAATCATGTCCTGATATATCCTGGCTTTTTTCTGTTATAGATATTAGGAAAATTTAGTACAGCAAAGTTCCTTGGTTATTCTTTTGAGTGGTGCATTGGGTTAGTATTATAGTAGTAAAACTTAAGAATATCAATATTACAGTTTGGGCTCCAACTATTTTACCTTCTGCCAAATGGTACAATTTATGCTCAGGAATTGTCTCCAGGAAACCAGACTGTTCTCTTGGGAACATAGGAGCAGGTAGTCTAAAGCAACCCCTTGGAAACCATGTTTTTCTTTCATAAATAAAGAATATGTGTCTGCATGTAATATTGAACCTCATTTCTGGGCAATAAAAGCTCTGCACTATTAGTATGAGGCTGGACAAGGAAGAAAGTAAATTTATGGGGAGATGATGTAAGATGAATGCTCTATGCAAAGTAAAATAGAAATTTAATGATAAATTAGAGAAAATATCTGTATACAAGATATTATGCATTCTTTCTTAAATTAAAAATATTGCAGCCCAAAAAATCCAAAGCCTAAGCAATCATTATGCTTTATGTCCACATCACATCTTTTAGCTATTTTCTAAAATAGTTCTTTATTGAGCAGGATGGTTGACTTACATATTTTGAAAAAAAATAACAGTATCTAAATAACGTGATATATAAGTTTAACTTGAACTTAACAGCTCAAGTTTAAAAATATGTCTAGCATAGTTTGCAAAAGAAAAACTATCAAAAATCTTCCGTTTGACATTCTAGAAGAGATCAGCATGGAAGAAGGAAAACCCAGGAGAAGAAGCAGAGAAGATCTCCATATGATTTACGGTATGAAGATCATGAAAATAGTAAAGTACTGGAAACCATAGACTAAAATGGGAAAGTACTATAACAGCATTTTAGGGCTTATATATCTAAACATTTATCTATTAGAACTAAGAAGATTAACCAATAAACACATGGGAACAATGTTTGCAGCTAAGTCTCCTATCAACCCCCCAACAAGAGTGAGGCTCAGCTAATTATCCAAGGCAGACAAATATCTGGTGACTAAAAAATCTGATTTTTTCTGAAGGGAGGTTAAGGGTAATAGAAGATACTTAAATAAAGACATCAGCAAATATAGCCTAGATTTTTGTCACATTTTAATTTTCTCAGGGTTGGAGTTTCCTCCCCCACCCTTATTTTTCTAGGCCTGTTAACGTATTTTACATGATATATATATATACACACCTTTTACTTCCACTTCTTTATTTCTTAGGATCCAAGCCACAAACAGTACCTGGCCTATTTTTACCATGTTATACTTCAGTATGGTACAACCAGTTTAGAGCATTATTAAGAAAGTAGTTAACTTAGAATGTACATGTTTCAGAACTATGTGAAAAACAGCAGCTGAAAAGGAGAGGAAAGAATTGAGAGTTTTCTGTCATATCCATACCAGGCTGTTGTCATATTTCAAAGTAACAATGTCCTATCACTGAGAGATCATAGAAATTACATCTCAAGAAATCCCTATACTTCAGCATAAACTTAACCTTCTTCTCAATTCCTTAAGTCTTGGAAAAACTAAGTAGCTAAACAGAAACTTTCCTAATCATGCTTTGCTTGATTATGTGTGTGGTGAACAACATATATTAAGAATATTATCTTCAATACATCAAAAGTAAAACATCAACCTGTAGAAATTGTTATCGAACTAAAATGTGTACATGTTCTATCCTAAAAGGCTAGGGCTTTCATAATACTACTTGTTTCATAAAATGTTACACTATAGCTGTATACACCACTGAACAGCAGCAGAAACTGAGATTCATTTTCCCTAGAACGACTGCAAAACAGTCAGCAATTACTTTAGTTGGGAGCCAGAATAGATTAACTATATAGAACACTGACCTGAAAGATAGCTGGTCTAAATTTAAATCTAAGATGGTTTTTCAGCCACATTTTTGTATTAGAGTTACATATTTTTTTTAATAAAAAAAAGGTTAAAGGGCTATTGTCATGCTTAGTTGACTTTAAGTCCCACCAAAATCAATGGCACATGATAGCCACAGTTTAATTTAGGTACCATTTATTTCAGTAAGATCTAAATATAACTAAAGTTTATGTCTGAATCCAATCTAAATGTCCCTCATATATAAGCTCCCCTGTATTGAACATCAATTGCATAAAATAAATTCACAAATATCTCCCCCCCCCAGTAATTAAAAAAGGGCAAGGAATAATCAATTTTGGATTTTTATAGTAACAAGTTCTACTGCAATGGATGTAAGCTGTACAAAAGCAGTGGGCCTATGTAGGAAGTGGTCCAGCAAGTCAAATGTGTTAATGCTGAGTACATTGTCCTGAACTAAGCCCAGGTCCATTTCCAAATTTGAAGAAAAACACACCAAAATGCAGTTGCAATTAAAAATAAAGAGGGAAACTCATATACCACAATCCATTTCAACTGTTTCACAGCCATGGTCATGTATAGAGGCTGTGTACAAAAAAATAAAAATCTCATTTTGCCAATATACACACACCAAAACCAAGACTCTTTAATTTCACATTGACTTTCCTTTTTATTAACGCCAACTTGTTTTAATTTTTTCTTGTTTTTCATTTAAAACAATAGCACAAAAATGTGTTTCCAGAGAAGCAATTTGACATCTAGTGTCTGATGACCTTCTCCAATTAACAATTAAAGCCACGTCAGGTATGAATTAAAAAAAAAAGTATTTTAAAAAAGGGAACTGTAAACATTTGAGCAAGGAGTGATGTTGGATATGAAATTGGTAAGCAGTAACATGCTATTTTCTTAAGCAACTGATGGCAGAAACCTTAGATATTTATCATCATGCCAACTAGTGTAAGTTTAAGGCTTCTGAATCAAATTACAAAACATTACCAAATACAGTAGAATGGAAAGCTACAATCACAAGGTGTTAGGGCAATGTTTTGTTTTTGAAACAGAACACCTTTTTCAAACTACTGGTTATGCATTCGGTGAGGTGGGACCTTACAGTGGCCCAGAAAGATCCAAATTACAATACTAAATCTTATCTGCATGCAGGAGTAAAATATAAAGAAAGACAGAAGGGGATGGGGGGGGAATAATTTCATTTTAATGTGGCTGAGAAACATGTTTCTATACAAGTTTGCAATTTTTGAGAATATTAGCAAATGAAACAAAAAAGGAGAAAAGACAGACAAGGAATATTTTATTTTCTCCTTCTCAAAATATGAAACAAGGGAGTCTTATAAGCTTTTAAAATTTGAACCAAGATCATGTGTGGTTTCCTAGAACCTTCAGCTAAAGACTACACTTAAAGTTTATACCAAGCTGTCTTTCATAATTGGACCATTCCACACAACTTGTAAGTGCTTTTGCTGCCTTTCAGTGTGTTTTCAGATGCACTCAGAGGCGAAACCCACTCCTGCCCTTGACTTGCTATAACATTCAAATTGCCACGAAACCTCTGGTTTCGTATTTTGTTTTTTAGAAAAAAAGGGAAAGGGATGGTTAAAAAATCATCAGAAAGTATAAGGGGAGAGTGTATTAAATATTTTGACCACTGACAAGCCTTAAGGACGTTTCACAGTTTTGTTATGCTCTATTTTATTACTATAATATTTACAGGGTGGTTGTATATTTTTTTCTTTGTTGCTAAAATTTTGATAAATTTTTTTTATTAGAATTTAGTTCTGGAGTTGAGCAGGAACTGTTAAACTACATTCAATGTCCAGTCCCCATTGGTGTGAGAAAAAACTCCAATTTCCTTGGCGCATTATTCAACTGTTGAATAGCAGCTTTTCCTCCTCACGCTGAGGCAGTTGGGCCGCAGCAGCTGGGATGTCCGAGGTGGATGAGAGTGGGCTCACACAGCAGTTGGTGAGACTTTGCGTTGCAGGAGGTACTGATGGACATTTTCAGCATCACGCTTCAGCCATGCAGCATTCAACAGGATGTTTTCACAGCACTGCTGTATGGTACGCTCAGCTGATGGAGCTGGATGACTCTCAAAAAAAGCCTACATGAAATGAAATAACATTTTCTGGGATTATCACATCTGATGACATCTTCATATGGATGAATCAGTCAGAATATAGGGACTTAATTCCACAACATATAATAATTGGGATGAGCAGATTCTAATACTAAACAAGAGGCTGTTGTCAAGACTGGGTAGCATTTTGGTGTCAAAGACAGCAGCACAGAATCTACATTTCATTAAGATAATAATTTTTTTTGCAATTATATACTTGTAAATCATGTGGAAAAACAAGTGCACCTCATGCAAAGTGTTTTAATACATGTTTTATCTTCATTCAAATCATATTACAAGTGATGTAACTGCAGAAAAGAACTATGAAAAACCAATTCTGCAATCATTTATTCCACAAAAAATGAATAGCTATATGATTTCCTTCTGAAGAAAAATTAAATATATTTTTGGCTTTAAACCTGGTATTGTCCCCTTTGGAAGGAACAACCTCAACCTTCTTATAATTGTCTATCAGTCTCTGACATTGATGGGATGGATTTTTATCCATTCATTTTTCAGCCATTTCTTGGGAGATTTACTCGAATATTTAAAGTCATCATATTGCAAGGTCCACTTTCACTTGCTCTTCAATCTTCTGAAAAAAAATCTCACATTCACCTCAAGCCCCTTTAGTACAATGAACAATTCATAGTGGATTCTTTGATGATGAGCTGTCCAGCCCTGATGCAGCAAAGCATCCCATTTTGACCACCATGCATTAACAATTGGTATCAGGTTCTTCAGATTAAATGCTGAATGATTTTCCCCAAACACATCTTCTGACAATAGGACCAAATAACTTTTATCTTTGCCTCATATGCCCACATCACATTGTTTTGGAAATCGTGATCTGCCTAACTATTAAGCAGAAAACTTTAGTCCTGCCCTGATTATCTTTCTGGACAACAAAGGTTTCCTCCTGGTACATCTCTCATGTAGATATAATTTGTTCAGCTTCTTTCTAATGATATGCTCATTGACCTCATGTTGACTCACTTCAACATTAATCCTGATGACAGCTACTTGTGGCTCATGTGATGAAATTCTGAGTTTTTTTAGAGCTTTGGGGGCATCTTGCATTTTGCTCTCATGCAGAACTTGCTAGTTTGATCTGGTTTGGGTAACTTGGCAGTTGTGCGAAATCGTCCCAGTGTAATGACTGATTTGAAATTATTTAACAGTCTTTTTAAATGGACTACAAAATGTAAATGGTGAATTATATTTATTATATTATATCCCCTTTATCCATATCTATCAATATTGTTGAAATGATCAAATATCTGTAAATTGAAATATACTGAAAAAGTCTAAAATTTCAGTGGGGTTTATTTTTTTACATGACTATATGTTGCAAAGATATGCAAGATGTAGCATTTGGGAACAAAGTGTTCTTGAAAATGTCACAAGACATTTCTAGACCACTCTGGAATGTTCAATTCCTCTAGACCAGGGGTCCTCAACCTTGGCAACTTTAAGACTTGTGGATTTCAACTCCAAAGCTGGCTGAAGCACAAGTCTTAAAGTTGCCAAGGTTGAGGACCCCTGCTCTAGACTATGCAATTCCGGGCATTTTGGTGATTTTCAGAAGAATTTCCTGCACCAGAAGCAAACATCTCAAACAGGTTTGGGAAACTTATTCTGGAAAGTGCTGAACCATTCCCAGAACAGCACAGTCTAGAAGGGGGAACAGAGTAACAGAGTTTGCCAAAGCATTTCTTTTCTGAATCACCAGCATATTTTGTATTACATTGCATTCTTCCTTTTCAGTTCCACAAAACTGTATTTTAACAGATTAATTGAAAAGACAAGGTATTCATTATTGAGGAATGTCCACTGATTGAGAAATAAGGCACCATGGAGATTTAAGTCATTTGTATCATGATGTCAACACAGAAATCATTTATTTTATTTTTTTGATCGATTACTCAACTTCCAAATAATCCTGGAGGGCTCACCATTGGAAATAAAAATGTACATATAAGAAAGTATAAATGAAGAGTATTATGTCACTTACATCATTTTATTCCATATGCATGACACAATTCATTCAAATTATCATTCCAATTGTCATTTGAATGAATGGGTAATTTATCATAGGTAATTTATGTAATGACATCATTATCCAAATGAGCTAAGTGTCTACATCAAGTTTCAAGTAAAATGAGGTTGAATTTAAATTGTTCCTCTATAATCCCAGGAAAGCTATTTATTATTCTACTTTTAAAAAAAAACCTAAACTCTGTTTCCACTTCTTCATACAGAATATGAAAGAATAATTTAGCTACATTTTGAGGCAAAGTGTCCTTTGGATACTATTGTTTTCTAAATATTGCTAAATAACTTGCAACATCCTTTATCACTGCCCACATTGCAGGAATGTTAGTAGCTGTAGTTCTGTAACTTCATTATTTTAGAACAGGGGTGGGAACAGATCACTTATATTTAAATTTATTACCAGAAAGTCAATTATTTAGCAAAATCAATGTACACTATCATAAAAAATAGTCCTTAAAACTTATATATCACTGCAGTACATAAAGCTCATTAGAATGAGTGTAATACTAATAAACTTATATGATGCTTGATTCTCAATGATTTCCTGAAGATGAAATTTACGAAGCTGCTGAATTTTCTCTCCATCTAGGATTTTTTCTGATTTTAATCCAAACTAAGTTTTCACATGTTCACTTTCCTGAAAGCTCTCACACATGTGGTTAAATACCACAATGACTGTGGCAGTAATTAGTCAATGGTTTGGTTTATGACTCCAAACTTTAAGGAAAATTCCAGTGTTCTGGCTGATTAAATAACCTGATAACCATCTGATATTTAGACTGCAACTCCCATACATCCTGGATAGCCTGGTCAGGGATAATAGAAATTGTAGTTTAAGTATCTAAAGCTGCAAGCGCTAAGTCAGAGAACACAATGCTAGAGAGTCAAGGGCTAGAATTCCATTACTCCAATTCCCCCTTTCAGTGAATATGGTGCAATCGAGGAAAAGAAACATTCCAATCACTGGCATGTAAATCAGAAAGGCAGCAGCAAAGATATTGATTAAATAGTCTTACCTTAACTTCTGAAGCCATTTTGTCAATTGCAAATCCATCCACTGATAGCTGAAAAAGAAGCATAGAGCATAATAGATTTGGTGTGAATTAAAAAAAATTAGCTTTATTGCCATAGCCAAGACTTTTCTTGCATACCTTTATTAGTCTGGATATTAAGAATCCCCCCTGGTAGCGATTGTATAGTTCCTCCCAATTGTCTCTGACGAACTTCCAGGCAGCCTTTCTGCCCTGCTTGCTGCCTCCTGCAACTCCACCAATGACAGATACTGTGTCTTGGGGACGTACCTCTTCCTGTAAATGAAATAAGAAATGTAGTAAACAAAGCTGACTTGATTCTATAAAATAAATAATCATCCAGGAAATATCTTCTCTCTCTCTCCCTCTCTCTCTCTTTTCCTCTCTGACATATAAAATACAAGTGAAAATTAAAACAATGAGAAAAGGGGTAAAGGGAAAAGGAAGATGGAATAGAGTGAGAAAAAGGGAAAACCCCAGAAAACAATGACTTTCAACTTCATTTGGTGGAGTAAGTTACCTGATAAAATTATAATATTAACTTTTTATATACAAAAGTAAGTACTAGCTATTTCTATAACAACAATCTATTTAATCATCAAAACCTAAAATCAGAGTTTCATTTTTATCTCTTTCAAGCAGAAAAGTCCAGAAGATTTGAATTATATTCTTAGTATACTGCACTTATATAATTTGTACCAGGTTTGTTCTCCAGAATGGGTATGGTCTAACAGAAATTGGGAGACCATCAATTCTGGTGCTCAGAAAAATTTAGAACTTGGGCATAAAATAGATATTTGGCTTTATTAGTATCTTGTCTTGTTGGAATGCAAAGAGTTCTCCTCTTACAGAAATAATATCTGTTCCAAGAGTCCTAAAAATCAATGGCAAATTCCATAAAGAGAAATAGAGGATGACCAGGAGTACAAAGACATGTGCCTCTGAGGAAGGCAGACATACGAGAGTGGCCAGAAAGGCATGCCCCTCACCTAGTCAGGGGTCAGAGCCCAAGGTAGTTGCTTCACTGTATAGTAATTTTGCTGTTCTCTATTTGCTTATAGAAATTCCAATATTTCAGGGACATCTGATGGTGCCACGAATGTCTGTCTTTTATACCACTCTTCAAATCAGTTGATAGACAGTGGTGGTGGCTAGGCATCTAGAAACCTACATGGTTTCTACTGTCATGATGAAAGCCTGAAATTCAAGAAACGTTCCCATTTAATTTCTAAGAGCAAAGATGTAACCAGCAGGAATCTAGGTGTAGAATTAGGCCTTGAGGCAAAATGTCTAGTTTTTTCAAATGTCACATGACCTCTTTGCTCATTTCCAATAGAGTAAAGAGCCATGTTCTTCCAGGTCAGAATAGAGCCTTGAGAATCTTCACTTGCACACCACTCTGGATAGTACTAGAGTTGATGGAAAGTATAGAGCAATCATCTAGCTATGGTACTATCAGAACATCAACCCCCTCTGCTCTGTTGATTTGAAATGTCGACAAAAGAAGTATCTCAGTTGTCTGTGGTCCATTGTCTGACGAGGTTTACTATCTTTTTGAAATCTCACAAAGTAATTCAGTTATTCTTTTATGTATTCTGCTGATATTGAGTGTATATGTGTTTCCCTGGCCAAGTCATTACTTACATGACCTCTTTCTGAAGACCCTTGATCTGTTTCCACCCTAAACACTCACTAAGTAAAATCTGCACAATTCCTGCACTGAACTGTTTTGGAAATGTGCTCCTCATTCCATCAGCCTGATGTTTGTAATCACCTAATTCTTGATCAGTTCAAGGTATGCCAGATTTGCTGGCATCAGCCCCCAATGCAAAGACTTGGCTACCTTGCTTGGCAGTCTTATGATCTGTCTCCTTTGTTTCCTGACAGGATTGAGGAAATTGAGGATTCCAAGCACAGGATGCTTTTTTGACCTTCTCTTTTTTCTGATGCTGCCTAGTCAGGACCCCTTCTTTCTGCATCTTTATTTTTCTTATTCTCACATATACTCTTCTTTTTCTTTCTTTTTCTTTCTTTTTCTTTCTTTCTTTCTTTTTTTCTTTCTCTTTCTTTTCTTCCTTCCTTCCTTCCCTTCCTTCTCTTTCATGTAGCATCTATCTTGTCTACAGGCAACCTTTCATATGATTATGAAGAGGTTCAAAAATAGGTTGACACTGAAGAAAGATATGATTTGTATGAACTCCTGGGATAACATAACTGGTTTTCCTTTCTTCTTTCTTGCTCTGGAACAGTTTTGGTTCTCAACAAGTTGATTTAGTATGGCACATCACTGAATTTTGAAGCTGCCTCACTTTGGGAGGTCAGGCATAAAACACCTGGAATTCACATGTCTGTATAAGTATAGAGGACAAAACTGTCTCTTTGCATAGCATTAAACTAATATGCTGGGACTTATTAAGTTTATCTTTTACATCTCTGCTTTTCTATCAGGTATCATCCCACAGTCACCTGACATATCACCAAATTTGGTAGGTCCCTCCTATTCTAACTATGGAGAACAGAAAGATCCAATTTATGTACTCACTTTAGGCTCAACAGCTTGAATACTGTTGAACCACTTTTCCTGGCAACTATGACAATCCTGACTATTGAAGGGCTGCTGCTGCTACCTAGTCCTGGTTTGACTAGCAGAAGGCTGCTGAAATTGGCCTTTCAAAAAGAAAAGAGGCTGCCAAAGGATTGATGCAGCTGATGCTGCCTGTGCTTAATCCAGATTCAGCCACATCCTACAGGTTTCGATGCTGGCCTCTTTCCTCTGTTCCAATGCCTATGGAAGCCATTGCTCCCTGATTCTGCTTAAGAGGAGAATGGTATCAGATCCTTAGGTGACCAAACCTCCTTTTGGGGCAACTTTAGATGAAGATTTTAAAAAATGTAATTAATGTGAAATGTAAAAGAAACAGGACAGTTATTTCATTTTTACAGCTCGATTCTGTTATTTTGTCTTATCTACCTGATATATCAAGCTTTCTCTGCATAGTTTATTTTGGTCCTGCTAGGTTGCTGGAAGGACCAAAGAACTGGAAAAGGGAACTGTAACACCAATAGCTGTTCGAGATATCTCTTTTTCTTGGATATCGAGCTCTGCTATATGTTAGCTCTAAGGAATATATATTTAAGGGAAATAAGAAGAAGGAAAGCAGTATCCTCAGGATGCTGAAAATGGTAGTAAATTCCCAATTCCATTCTTCTGTTGCTTTTAGTGCACAGGATATAAACTTAGTATATGGCATTTTACTCACTGAAAGTGCAAAAGTAAGAACTTTCTGTATTAACTCTGGTTGCGATATTGCACCAAGTACACGTTCTATTCTGTTCTTCTCTTCCTGCATATCAGCTTGCTTGTGGAGCTGCAAAAAACAAAAGAACAATAACAAATAGTATATGATATTAGACTTCTTCCTCCCTGTCATATTCTACTTTAAACTAGGACCAGAGAAGCCAAATTAGAAATCTCTCAGCTTCTCAATACATGGCCAATGAGTAAGACACAAGAATATTTGCCACCTAGTTGGGGGGGGTGTCATCAAAATTTGACTACATTTCCCAGTACTGCAGTTGCAAGATTCATTTTACAGAAGAGCCAATAGATGGCATATTATCTTTCCTGCGTCTTTCCTGCGGCCCTTAAGGAGGCCGTTGTGAGGCCCCTCCTCAAGAAGCCTTCCCTGGACCCAGATGAGTTGGCCAGTTATCGCCCAGTCTCCAACCTTCGCTTTGCGGCGAAGGTTGTTGAGAGTGTGGTTGCGCGGCAATTCCCTCGGCACCTGGATGAATCAGTCTATCTGGACCCATACCAGTCGGGCTTCA